CCGAAAGGAACATAAAGTATATGGTATATAAAATTATATTAATGATGTTAAGGTCTAAAGAACACTGAAGGAGTAATAGTCGAAAAAGTATAAAAGTTTGAATTATTAAGCATTTCTCTTTGATTTATTTTTATATGTTAATAATCATAAAAATGAATACTATAAAAAAGAAAACCCAGTTAATGTGGTTTTACATTACAAGGCTTTGTGAGAGTATTCCTTAAAAAAGTACATTTATATCTGAAGTTTTTACAAAATAAAAATTAGATTTAAAGTGATTCTTTAGAGTCCCAACTTAAACTCAGTGTAAAACCCATTTCATATATATATTAATTTCATTAAAATGAAAAACCCTGTAGACCCTTTTTAAGGGAAAACCATAACTATCTTGTCCGGCCAGGCAGTTTTCATCTCTTATTTCTATAAGCTTTCCGACTCAAATATCATATTTGGTGTACTTAGGTGGGGAAGTTAGGGAAAACGGCGTGCGGCAACGGGTTGGTCGAACTGCAAATGACTTTCGGCTTTTGGCCCCTCTCCGCGTGCAATAAAAGTAAATGAATTGGAAACTTGCACAAAATTCAGGCAAACTGCTGACGAAGATGCCGCCGTCTCCTGATGACAGAGTTCTGGAAGCAAAAAAAAAACTTCAAAATGCCAAACAAGAGCTCGACTCAACTCAACGCGAATCAAAGGACGCCCCCCTCGAATCTGATGTCATGCCCAATGTTCATAAAGAGCAAAGCAAACGAAATTCTGGCCCTGAATTATACCCTCGCTTTCCATCTCCATTTTCCTCTCCCTATCCGTTTCCATTTCCCTCTTGCTTTGGTCTTTTGCCGGCTTTCGTCAACAATTGGCAGTCAAAGTTTTGACTGTGAGAATGCCTTTGCAGCACGTGCTGTGTATTTGCCCTGCCCTCGAATCCATAAGATACTTGTACACCACGCACTCCGTAGAGATTAAAGAGATGGGAAATCGAGAAGGAACCGCTCCTGACAAAGGACCTTGTTTTCCCATCCCTCCCGACATTCGTTTGTTTGTTTAGGACTTTGTTTTGATTAAGTGCCAAAAAATTGTTTCGTATTATTTGCATAAAAATTGAGAAATTGAATGCATGTTGGGTGCTTGATTTGTTTGCTAGCAACGCATAAAAATAGATACTCACACATTTGTTTGCTCTTAATATATATCGCACTTGCACTACATAGCCTCTGGGGCGGTAAAACCTACATTTTATGAGCCGCAAAGCTCTGATAGATTTGCCCGCACATGGCCATAAAAGTGAGGCCCCGGGGGACTAATAAAATCTCCCTTTGACTGATCATAAAACTACGGCATCATGTCCAATTTCCCCTGGTTTTGATGGCTGCAGCTCAGCGGCGCGCAAAGTGTTTCGTACAAATTAATTTTTGAACCATCTAACTATACTCGTTGCATCTCTCTAGGGTACAAAAAGGCTTTAAAATAAATGTCCATGAAATGTGTGCAAATATGGAATATATATCGAACATGTAAAATGAAGTATTCTGTTTACAGAGTTGATGGTAGTTAAGGATATGTGGCTTAAATCAAGTGCAAATAAATAAAGATAGCTCTTTAAATAGTTAAAATAAACAACAATAAAGTCACGAAAGTTAATGGTAATTTAAATTGGATTTTAATTTATTTAATGTTTATTTTGTTGAATAATTGAGGTTTAATATATGTTTACCATATTTGCCGTAGCAAGTATTTTTATTTTTACTAAAAATGTTTATTAACAGATAATTGATTTTCAATCATTTTCATCTCTAAAATGTAGTTATCACAATTTAAAAGCAGAACTTTTAAAATCTGCAACTATTTGTTATGGTTAAAAGAATTTGAAATTGTATTTTAAGTATTTTATTTAGTAGTTGTACTCTCTCTCTAACTACTTAATTAAATACCTGAAAATAACACATCGAGGTCAACACTGAAACTAATAAAAAAATATTTGTGGTTAATAGTTAAGGGAATTTTCATTAAAAATGAATCCATTTTATCGTGGCATTTTTCCTCGAAGGGAGAGGAAACTTTTCATTTGATAGCCACTGAGGGTCCACTTACCTTTCCACTTTACTCATTTCGACGTCCTTGGCTTGAATGGATTGCGGCTGTGGGTTTAGCGGATTAAGTAGGCGCGAAGGTCGTCCTTTTTGCATTGTCCTTTCGCTGTGTTAACATAATAATCAAACAATTTGCCGCCCTGGCCCAAATTAATATGCCACTAAATAAGATAAAGTGCATGGTGCTCCAATATTATTTGCATTTTTATTACCCCTTGCCATTGCCATCGAAAGGGAAAGCCAGCTAACAAGTCCTTCGTGGCGATGGAAAAGCCGAAAATCAAGGGCGCCGTCGCAGAGAGCCAAGAAAGCAACCGGTAGTTGTGCGTTGACTGCGACGCTGGCGCTTCTGTTGCGTCGCTGTTAACGGCGATTTGTTGCCAAGACTTTTTGGCCAAAATAACCCAATCAGTCAGTCGGATGCTGCGGCCAAATACTGTAGCTGCCGCCGCCGCCGTTGCTCTCGAGTCGCCGAAAACAAGACAAAAACATCACGAATAACGAGTGCTTCGCAGTCATATCTCTGTGTTCGGTTCCCAGAAATATCTAGAGGATATAACCATATTAATCAGTGCCATACGCAAATAGTTAACGTCATTAGTTTCGAGTGTGAATTGAGTAAAAACTCCTACAGTGTCATTAATCAACGTTTAGCACATGGTAAAAATTGATTAGCAATAATGTAATAAAAACAAAAACCGCTGGGGGAAAGTGTGTTTCAGAAGAAAGGGGTGCAATGCCCGCAGAAAAAAAGGGAACACAAAGTGACAAAATCAAAACAGTTCAAAGTAATAAAAAATAAATGCATTTGCCAAAAATGTGGCAGGCATCGTTTTGAGAAATTTAAATTAAACGTGTTTTAAATGCACAAGCGACTGAAAAAATATAATTAATTGAAAAATCCCGAAACAGGAGCGACGCCGAAACAGTTGTGAACAAGTTGTGAATAAATAAAAATGAGGCATTAAGATCGAATGATTGCGATTGGCCAGTGAGAACCATTGACCCCAAAAGAGACACTAATGACACGCCGCCAAACGTTAGTGCAAAAATCATAATATTTAAAGTCATATGCAAAGCAAAGTCAAACAGCAAAAAAAGAAGATACTAAAATATATATACAAAATAGCCAAAATAATAATAAGAAACAAAATATGGGCATGGGCGGTGCATAATTTCGATGGGTCTGATCATCAGACACCCGAGACAGCGTACATCGCACACATCGGACACCGAAACGAAAACAGAATCGGAAAAAAGATGAAAAAATGAAAACCAGTTTGATTGAATATACAATATAATAAAACCAAATTCGACAGCATTCTTTGGGCCGTGCATATATTGTAGAAACTTTTTTATGATAATGATAATGAAAACGGCCAAAAACGGTCAACAGCGGTCAGCCAGGGAACTTTAGCCACAATAACACAATAACAACAGTTGAAAACGCTCATCATGAATGGCATAAACTATGTTAATGTTATTAAGTCACCCGATGTCCATTAGGGCTGTACCACCTGCCCTCAATCCTCCGGCCTCCCAACGGAGGAGGAGGAGTAGGAATAGGACTCGGAAGTGACCTTGTCTTTGGTGCGAGTTTAATTTATTTGCCCCACAGCTGGCTTTTGGCAGCATTTAGGGAGGCCCGGCAGCATCAGCCTTAAATTCATCTCGTGTACACAAATATTTTGACTAAATGCCACTTAGCAATTCAAATTAATTTTCAGCCTCAGCATCCACTTGCCCTGAGCCCGGACTTTTGCCTAGGACACGCCTGACTGCCGTCTGCCAGCTTCTCAGGATGCCAGGTAAACAGGACATAAACACACTCTTAGACAGGCACTCTGGGGTGGACCTTAACTTGACACTGTATTTGTTTATAGAACTTGAATATTGGGAAATTTAATCGAAATTAATTAAACAACATTTGCGCAAAAGCTTTCTATAATTCTAATAAATTATTTATCTTTCCAAAAGTCTCAAGAGTTTATAGCATTTATATGGCCTCTAACTGATAGCCAAAATGGTTAGACAGAGTATGCCTTTATAATGTGAAAATACTCTTAAGAAATAAGTTTCACAAGTTTTTATGGCTCAAGTCTTGACCTTAAAATATAATAATTCCTTTTAAGATTTTAGTTAAAGATGCTTTCAAATTTTGGTAAATTAAGAAAACCGCAAACTCAAGGTGGAGTGAATAAAATGACATTTAGAAAATAAACTTTATGGATTGCGAGTTCTGAACTGGAATACATAAACATTTCATTGCAACTTTTTTAAGCAAATTTTATTCAAAAGTCAAGTTTCATAAAGAATAATGTTCTAATTAAACAGAGCATTTTGAATCATTATATTAACTTGGAACGACTTTGTTTTCTACAGTCAAAGTAATGAGTTAGTTGCTTTAAAAATCATGGCAAAACCTTTCTAAGTTTAAGTTATTAATATATTTTGTCAAGTTATAAATGTTCGAAAAGTTACAAATTTATAATGACCAAAGTCCACGTTGCGTATGAGTAATATTTATTATTAAATTTGTAAATTCCTTTCCTTAATATTCAATATAGAATACTGAGTAAACCATTTCTAACTTAATATAAAACTCAGGTATTGAGGATTCCCTAGATAATACCCAAAATCAAGGTCCACCCCATTGCACACCTCCTGACACACAAGTTAATCCCAAACTCATGACAACAGGTCCATGAGTGGAGTGGCCCTGGCCTAAGTCGGAATTGATGAGCCCCTCCCCTCGGGGGCATTATGAAAACATTATTTGGCAAGCGAGCATAGATTGAAAAGACATAAGCAGGAGTCGAAAATTCAAGGGCAAATTCGAATTTAATAGTGCTCGCCCAGTTCAGGATACCAAGGACACCTAGGACACACATACACACAAAACACACATCCATGGCTGTCAAAATGCTGCCTAGCAACAGCTCCGGTCTCATGGCGACCGATCTGCAACTGTTTCACAATGAGAAATTCCTTCTGAATCTGACCCAAGTGCTTAATATCTCGGCGGAGAACCTGAGCAGTCTGCTGCAGAACCTGGAGCCAGAGGAGCTGCTGCCCACGGCCACCCAAATGGCGCCGCTTTCCCTGCTGGCAGCTCTAAGCGTGGGCTACGCCCTCATCTTTGTCGCCGGCGTGCTGGGAAATCTCATCACATGCGTCGTCATCTCCCGGAACAATTTCATGCACACGGCCACCAACTTTTACCTGTTCAATCTGGCCATATCCGACATGATACTGCTGTGCTCAGGTGAGTGTGGGGAAATCATTTCAACATATTATCGTAATGTATATTCTTACTCTGCATTCCCAAGGCATGCCCCAGGACCTGTACAATCTCTGGCACCCACACAATTATCCCTTCAGCGATGCCATCTGCATATTGGAGAGTGTCCTTTCGGAGACTGCGGCCAATGCGACTGTTCTCACAATTACCGCTTTCACCGTCGAGCGATATATTGCCATTTGTCATCCGTTCAGGTGAGTGAGCATGAAGCAAGCGACTGTCCATGTTGTTCTGCAAACCCATTTCAATTTCCTGTGATGACCTTGCCTAATTGGTTCTGCCTTTGATACAGGCAGCACACGATGTCCAAGTTGTCACGGGCCGTTAAGTTCATATTTGCCATCTGGATAGCTGCTCTCCTGCTGGCCCTTCCCCAGGCCATCCAGTTCTCGGTGGTGGTGCAGGACATGGGCCTTGGATCGGGATCCTCTTGCACGGTATGATTGATGGGATGAGCCTTTAATCGATGTTCCAATAATCGGGTATTGGACTTAATTGAGTTATGGAAGAGGTGTCTGTTAACGGGCAATAAAGCATATTCTAGGAGAGTCTTCAGCTAGTTTTACCTACCTTTAAATGAAATTTATTTCGACTAAATTTAGCTTCATCTTAGTAAGTAGTTATATGGTTAGGCTTCCAATTTATTACCTGAGCTTAAGTTCCATGGACTTATTTTTATTTTCTCAAGTTCCCGGGATCCTCCAGTTCTCCGTAATTTGGGGTAATCAATTTTACAACCGTGCCTTTCCGACTGAGGCTATAACCCGTAACCATTTTCCTTCTCCTGTTCATGTACTCTGTGACTTATCTCCGCCAGATGAAAAACGACTTCTTCGCGCATGTGTTTGCCGTATCGGGCTTCCTGTTCTTCGGTGGCCCCATGACTGCCATCTGTGTGCTCTATGTACTCATCGGGGTGAAGCTTAAGAGGAGCAGACTCCTCCAGGCCCTGCCCAGACGTTGCTACGATGTGAACCGCGGCATCAGCGCCCAGACGCGCGTCATCCGGATGCTGGGTAAGCAGGCAATGGCGTTGACATATGTTGGTTAACTAACGGGTTGCATCCGTATCCGTTTCCCCTTCCTGCAGTGGCAGTGGCGGTTGCCTTTTTCATCTGCTGGGCGCCCTTCCATGCCCAGCGACTGATGGCGGTCTATGGGTCCTCGTCGGGCATTGAGTCGCAGTGGTTCAACGACGTCTTCAGCATCCTCGACTATACGTCCGGCGTGCTTTACTTCCTCTCCACCTGCATTAATCCTTTGCTCTACAACATCATGAGCCACAAGTTTCGTGAGGCCTTCAAGGTGAGTTTGTTAATTAAAATAATAATAAATAATATTTTGAAAATGCTGCTAAAAAAAGGATTTCCTGGAGTGGCCCTTTTTTCTACAATGATTTCCACCTCGTTTACTAACTCTAATCCCTTCAGGTCACTCTGGCCCGACAGTTTGGATTGGGAGGCAAGAACCAGGGTCGAGGACTTCCCCATACTTACAGTGCGCTCAGACGCAATCAGACGGGCTCATTGCGACTGCACACAACAGTAAGTATTAAATAAAGTCTTTATACAGAAAACTACTGCCATTTATAAGTGACTTCTTAGGCATTTCTATATTTATTAGAGAGATTTGTAACCTGTCTGGTTCATGGAAAAATATTTATTAACAAGCTATGTTGAAATAAAAATTTGGAATCCTTTGCTAACCTTTTAGATAGAAGCAATAACTCTAATATTACAAAAAAATATGTTGTAATATATATTGGGGCAGTACACTATTTAAATACTTCTTTTAAGATAAAGCTTAAAGTTTAATTGCCTGACACTCTTCGTTGGCAAAGTTGTGGACATTTATCTCCTTGTAATGCACCTCCTTCTTTTACCCTCTTTATCCTTGCATTCCCACTTCCTTTAACAGGACAGCGTGCGAACCACAATGACTTCCACCACAACGACCACCACCACAGTGCTGAACGGAGGCGGTGTCTCTGGCAATGGAGCAGGAGCAGCGGCAGCAACGGCGGCACGCCTAAACCGCATGTCCTTGGACAGTGTCCAGTTGCAGGCACAGAATCGCAGCCGTCAGGATCTGTTCGAGAATCCACGTCGCCCACTACAGACGCAGATATCACAGCTGTCGTCGGTGGGCGATGCCCACTCGCTGATGGAGCAGGATGTGCACTTTCCGGAGGGGCAGCTGCAGCGTCAGCCCACCATGTGCTCCATTGACGAGCTCTCTGATGACTTGGCCATTTCACGGTCCCGCCTTAAACTCACCCGCATCACCCGTCAGTCGGGAGCGGGAGCGGGAGTGGGATCAGAGCTGACTGGAGTGGGCGGTGACAGTGAGTCGAGTGGCAGAGTGCGCAAGGCAAAGACGAAAACGCTAAAGGGTCCTGGTGCTCTCAAGAGTCTTAGAGCGAAATTCAATTGGCGTGCCAGACGCAAAGGCGGCCACAAACCGCAGACGCAGGCGGTGGCACGGGGAGCAAGCGATGAGCGGGCCGCCTTCTAAACGGGGGATTACGGGCTGGGATTCCCCCTTGAAAAAGGACTCCATTCCAGTGCCAGTCACACACACACACACACGCAACTGTGATACGAGCAGCAACAAGCCTCGCCAGCTTGTTTTTGTGTTTATTGTTCTTAGACAAATATATATTCCAAATCGACATTTTAGTCAATTAGTTATCCTTGATGTAGTTTAAATTTTAGTTAAAGTATTTGTAAATGTAATAAAGTAGCTCATTTTATTCAGTAGTGATTAATGGTGTTTTAATTATACATAAATAGAAAAGAATAAAAATTAAAGTCCTTTGATGAAAATGCTTTAAATATTCTTTGACAGATATAAACTCATTTTGTTAGTGTCTTATGCTTAGTGTTCCCTAGAATGAAACATATAAAAACCACTCAAAAAAGGACATTTTTCATTGGAAGGATAGTGGATCAAGTTGAGGATTATCAACTGTCGCGGGTTCAATGGGTTCAGTGCTTAATGACAGTCAGTGGAAAAAACAACTAGAGACAGACTTGCCTGCATCATAATCCCTGGCAATTAAGATGTCTATCTGGCTCACGAACTCGCTATTTGCTTTCACTATTCACTAGTCTGAAGTCTAGACTAGGAATTGGGTAATATTAACGAAAAACTGCTGAATGGATTGTCCTACACCAGTTTGGGTGGATGAGTAATTAGCATGCCATAAAAGGGTGTCCCAGCGAATGTGCTTTTAATTTCTGCGAATGCAATTTGTTGAACGAGTGAGCATGATATAAATTGCTCATAATTCATGAAGTGCAGCATATGTTGCCAAGATGGGGCAGCCATGAATAAGTGAGACCACAGAGACTTTGCTTAATTCGTGCAGAATGTTTTAGAATTAATGTTCATTTTGGGTTGAGAAGTTGGGACTTAGTTCGCCATTAGCCTGGCATCATTTTGCTCCGACTTAGAGTTGCTGCAATTAGGGTTTCGTTAAAGCAGCTTATGCCGAAAGGCACTCGGCCAAATAGTGTCAAACTTTTGATATATTTGGTCATGCATAATTTCCAAAAGGATTGCTGGTTTGCGGTTGGTCCCTGCACTCTCTTAACTCGAAATTCTGAAATTAAGAACCAAAATCTATGGTTTGCAGAAAAGCTTTTCAAAGAATTAAAGGGAGTTGAAGTGCATATGCATTTATAATCTTTCCATATATACTTTTTTTTCTTCAGCAATAATATACAAATATATATTGCCAAAATAACAAGAACATTAAACAAAAGTTTTTTTTATTTACAAAAGTAATCGAAAGAACTCTTGATACAAGTTTTAATTGTGTTTTCTTAGATTGATTTCCTCTCCACCGCCAAGTTGATAGATTGTCAAATAAAGTTTGTTATTTAGACAATACTGTTCTATCCTTAATGCCAGATACAAGATGCTAATCCGCTACACACGCCCAGGCGATATGCTTTTTTTATAGCCGGCGACTATACATATGTATATATATCTACAGATAGATATAGTTGTGTCTGGGTCGGGACCCTTTTGGCATCAATGGGCGGCCATCATTTATGCGACATAAAAGTCAAAGGCTGTCAAATAGTTTCGATGAACTTCATCATTTTTATGCGCCCAACCGAAATAGTGGGGACACACACACACTCGCACACACCACACACTCACCCACAGATAACCGTTACGTTGGCAGCCACACAATAAATTTGAGTGGGTTTCATTTTGTGCAAATTTACTATCACTTGTCGTCTCGACTGAAAGCAATTGGAGCATTCAATTTACTGGCGGGCCTAAAAGCCTTTTTGCGCTCCCATTTTACCATTTTAAATTCACTAATACGTCTTTGTTTCATATCACGCATACGCAGTGGGTAACATATATACATACATATATAGTCATGTGGAACCGTCATAACGCATAAATATGAAATAAATAAGCAATACTGTGGAGAGGCAGGAAAAATAAAGCCAAGCCGATCCCACTGACTGTGCAATAAACTCTCAATTTCATTTATATGTATGAGCCATGTTAGCAATTCAAATGGACGATGTGCCAGATTCACTAAACCATCGATACACACGCACTCGCACACTCACGCAAGGTGGGCGTGTTGTGGGGGAGGGGGCAATTAAGGCGTAAAATATCGTTGCCTACTTTCCGCGGCCATCGACAGCGGAATCGATAGAGTTTTTATAAGCTGAAAATCGTTTAAACCCCTACCACTTAACCCGGCACTGATTGCCCTGCATAACACTCTATTAATTAAAAGCCAGACGGGGGGGGACAAGCACATGTGTTGCAATTTAAGATGATTAATCTTTAGTTATGCCGGGAAAAAAAATACAAATTGTGTAACATTTTGAGCTTTAATGGAAGGTGCTTCTATATTGCTTAGCTTAATTAGGAGGTGGGATAAAGAAACCATCCTGTTCTTCTCTTCACAAATATTCTATCTGTCTATTTTAATAAATTGATAAATAATTCCTATATTCAGTAACAAAATCTCCAAGAATTAAAATCCACTCTAAAGCCCACGCATCTGGTAGTATGTGAGTCCAAACGCACTCCACTTGCCATTCCCAATCCCATTCCCATTAATGTAGACAAGATGACGCTTCCACTTGGCACGTACGGTCTGATGCCTCTGCCACTTGGGGGACTATTCCCTGGGCCAGGGTACGATTTGATATGTTTGACTTCTTGCCAAGCTCTCTGGGCCTCTAGTTTATGTGTTTGCTCAGTGCAATCCCATACCTTTGCTGCAAACCCTGGGATCTGGTTTCTTGGTCTTGTGGGTGTTGCCATTGCGATAGAACTAACATTGTTTTGTGTATTTCGCACGTAGTTACTGCTCGAGGGAGTCGGTAGTCATAAAGGCGAATTTGATCGGTTCTGACAGGACATAAGGAACGGGCTCAATATACTAAAATTGCTTAAACAACGACTAAAGTGCAATTCAATCGGTGAGCCGCAATTTTCACAGCGATTATTGTTAAATTACCTTTATTTATATAAGGATAAGGAGGCAGATCGATAAATATTTATACTTAGAATTTGAAACCAATAATTGAATCAAAATATTATTATTAATTAATCAGTTTCTTAATATACTAAACATTTTAAAGTGCAGTTTCCCGTTCAAATTCAATCTTTGAACAATTACGTTGTTTTACTAACTTTAATATCAAAAACTCCACTCTTTTTAATACATTGACAATAAAACTTGAAATTAAAACAAAATATAAGTAAAACAATATTTAAAAGAAGCCATCTAAAAAGTATAAAAACTAGTTTGCAGATAAACATCTTGAATTCGTTAAGATATATGTATAAGCATTCGATGTCGAACACCAAAATGTTAAGAAAAGTAAATAACTCTTGACAATACCGCCCAAAATCAGCTCATTAAATGGCACGAGCTATCGTATATTGATACGTATAAATTTTATTTGTTTTTAATATATGCCGTATACCTTCACATTTTAGGAGCGTGCGAATCTTCCGGCAAACTTGAAACGTTCACATTTAACTAAAGTTTTTGCCTTAAGACAGTGTCCATAATTATGATGCATGACACATAAACCATGCGATTAAGGTTCAAAACTGTCAGCCATTGCATTTTTTATGGAAAGCTTATTTTTAGATTCAGGTTTACAAATAACATAAGAATATGCCGGCTTCGAATACCAAGAAATCGGTATGGATCCATTAACCAATCGAACAACAATAAGCAATGGCAAACTACGATTCTGGTTTATCTGAATTCGCCATCAATGGCTGGCAAAATATTAACCAAAACATTCAAAAATCTAAACTCAAAACTGGTTTACCACTGGCAGCTTATTAAGTATTTGATTTTATATTCAATTCTTAATCAGCTTCAATATAAAATATGCAATTAGAATGCAGGCAGAATGCTAAAGATAATATTTGCACGATTATAGTGAATCTAGATTTAAAATTATACTTAAGTTTAGGTTCACTTGGGGTCAATTTACGTATAATTAACTAATTAAGAATTGGAAAATGATTTATTTATAAAACCATTAAACCCATAAAACTCAGAGTGAAAATAGCAGAATGGATCGAATAGGAAATTAATGCTAAAGACTTGGCCATGACGTGGGTCATAAATGCAGGCGGAATCCGTTTTAAATGCTCGCCACCAAAACAAGACCGCAAATTTATGACGGGCTGTTAAAAAATATTGCCTAGCACAAAGAAATTATTGAATCAAATGGCGACATAACAATCCTAATTAATTGTAAACAAGCCATGAAAAACATCAGGAGCTCACAGTCCACACACTCGGCACTTGCTGCTCATTTATATGGCGCATCCGAGGGGCATGATGGGTGGTTCCCCTTATTGTGCTCCCTTTTTTTCCTTTTTTTTTTTTCTTTTGCACTGCCGCACTGCGTCTGCCCGAGGGCGTAAATGTGTGCGTGAGAGCAAAGAGTGACGGCTTCGGCGACGGTTTCCATTTGTACGATATACAATAATATTTTGATTGAATTTTCCCCGAACGGGACAATAAAGTGGCATTTGATTTACGTCGACACGGAAAACAAGTTGTTAAGTCAAGACAATCCGCGAATCGTTTATTCGACTACAAGGAATACCTTTCTGTAGGTGATGTGTGTGAATAATATGATACTATAAAAAATATACTTATTATTTAAATAAATTAATGAGAGGATTAGCAGATATATTTGTGTTCTTTATATACTTCAAAGCGTAAGTATATAAATTAAATCAACTCAGTCAGGCTCTCATTAAACAAATTAAAAGGCATGTATACGTATGGCTAACTTGAACTTTTATATTAATTTAAATATTCTTATCTTCATGATTTAAAAACTATATAGTAAACCCACCAATAGAGCATACAAATATCCCCTTTGAAGACTGAAACAAGTTCTTTAAACGGGTACAAACATAATTGTGTTGTTATATGCATTTCTATATTTAAATATGTGTTTTCCCATTCCCCTTTTTTTCCGTGGAATGAG